TAAATGTTATTGATTTAAATGCAAATAAACTCAAATACAGGCTCAGGTCACAAAACTTAATTTAGAACAAACAAATTCTGTCCCACCCCTGTAGGAGTTACTAAAACAGCACAGACATAAAGAAAATGATGTTTTATGTGTAATAATGTTTTATGTGTAATAATGTTTTATCCGTTTGCAGTTTAAAAACCAATTTAGTCTAACTAAATGCACATTCCTACTTCTTGATGCTTCCCCAATGCTAACATGTTATTTCTTAATTTAATTTAGAAAAATGAAACATGGCAGGGGGATCTTGCACACAGAAAGAGAAGAGATATCCCATAAAGAGATGAAAATATCTTCAACAAGTGAAAAGACAACTTAAGGTAGTGCTAGCATGATACTCCAAATCAATCCACTCTGCTCCACCGCTCCCTGTCCCTGCTCCACTATGCCCTACTATAGTCTGCTACGCTCCGCCACGCTGAGCTGAGCATTTCAGATATTTGTTGTTATGAAATTAGAAAATATGAGGATGCAACAAAACTTACTGATCAAGCAGAATTAATTGAAAATCTCTGATTGGTCAGTCCTTTTAGAGGCTACACTGCAGCCAGTACTGTTCAATGAGTTTGGGTCACAGGAGGCTTTGACAGAACCTCTCCACATTAAGACACATTGTAGAGCATGTTTCTACAACAAAAATATTTGAAAAAAAGTTGCATACAGTAGCTTTGCCTGTATTTGTTAGGGACGATATACAGTACTAAATTATGCCATACTTTGTAATGAACCTTTTTTCAAATAGACACTGGCAATGGACTGGGTGTAATTTACTTTTTATGTGCGTCTGCCCATGACTGTAGTTTGGCTGTTGTTTTCTTCTGGGAGAAAGCAAGTGACCAAAGGAAAGAAACAGTCATTTGACACATTGGCAGCCATTCTTCATTTTGACGCACAGACAGCAAAAGTACCCCATACTGCTGACAATCTGGGCAAAAAATGTTGATATCTTTTTTTTTATCCAGTTAGCGAATGCTTATATTGGGCATCTATGTAACATTGCAATGAGCTCAAGCTGTATTTTATTGATACAGTGTAAGTCTAACTAAATGGAAGTGGTGGCATAGATTTTACTCAAAGCACTTGTTTTATCACAAAACAGTGATCACGGTCAAGAGGGGCATAAACCGAGGGCTCACCAGTACTGTAGTACAATATACAGGTGGCTGTCCTGCTCTGGACCTCACTCTGAAGGATTATGTTAATAGCCTCTGCTGAAGGAAAGAAATAAGAGTAATTAAAGTAACAAACATGCTCTTTTAACTCATAAAGCAAAATGCAAGCACTCATTTCAATTAACTGACACTTCTCTTCTGGCTCTTTGTAGACTCACAGGAAACCCAGAAACAACAGAAAATGTGAAACTGGTGACCAGTATTGCTTTAAGACTCATCAGGGCATCATTTAATCAGTAGAGCATAAAAGCTCCTCTCTCAAAGAAAAAATGAAATTAATTATTCTGAATTGAAATGACCTATTTTCATAATTAAATGTGTAACATGCTAGTATATGTCACCCTATTATAAGACGTGGAATATACCACATAATCTCCATGCATTCAGTGTCCTATTAGATTTTAATAAGAATCCAGTTATGAACCATAGTGTTGCATAAGTTTAGTCATCAAGGGGTTGTAAAGGATAATTTCACCAAAATTATGAAAATAAAAACTACCGCCTTATCACTGGTATTTAATGATGGAGATAGTTTTGTTTGGTATGACCAGGAAATTTGGCATTACTTTCTGAGGTTTCTGTCTTTGCCTCAATACAGTGGAGGCAAATGAACTTTTTTTTTGTGCCCAAAGCATTGAGCCATTATATTAAAAATATTCAGCAGCAATGTGACTTTCCAGAAACAAAGTCATGAAGGTTTCAGAAGGTTTCATAAAGAGTATTTTTGTAGAATGTAGTTCTAATAAAGACTGCTCGCAGTAGGGTTTATGGATTATTCAGGGCAACAGGGACATTATATTTAGAAACACGTCTGCTGTAGAATACTTTGAAAGTAATTCTTCCAGTGCTGTATAATCGACAAATTGATTCAACTCTGCTGTTTTGGAGGCAGAAATCGAATATAGACTTCACCATCTGGATAAGCTAAATGGAAAAATATACAGTAAACAAAACTTAAATACCTTTAGGGCATTTATATAATTTGGGTGAACCAGCTGTTTTAAGATAAATTTAATTTACCTTGAATATGTATCATGTAGTAGTGATCAAAGGTAACCACTGACAAAATAAGGTGAAAGCGTTTCAGCAGGTTCAAATGACATACTGTTTTATTTTGAATGATTTTCCAACTTAATGACAGTAACAGTACGGCTCCATGTGTATGCCAATCCTAATTTTACACCAAAAACCCACTTGCTGTGTTGTCTGTTTTCTATGACATGTGGGCTTAGCAACATATATCGAAGCTTTATTGCAAACAAACCCAACAATATATATTTTTTTTTACATTAGAAACTTTATGAGTGACATCTGCATCCTCACAAACACAAAATGAAGAGGCGAAAAAAGAAATAAAATCAAAGAAGAAACGAACAAGGACAGCATTAACTTCAGTAGGTGTGGACATTGTGGTAGCATCACGGACAGTTCAGTCCATTAAGTGTGTGACCATGTGAAGACCTCAGGAGGACCTCACAATGTTGGCCCACACTTCTAAAAAACATAGACACTTGTGTACATACATGCTCAGACACACAGATTTAAAGGAATTAAATCATTTCATTTAATCTTTCATATGTAGCTATGTGTATGGGGAAGCATTTCAATATCTTAGACCGCAGTCCTTTTCAGTGACTCATTTCTTAGGTTCAGTTTGGGAATTTTCCCCATCCAATTAATCATAATTGTTGGTGTCGCTCTTCCCTCAAAAGGTCTCCTTAGCTTTTATCCACCTGCACTAAAAAAGTGGATGATTCTAATATTGAAGAGCTCTAAACTGATCACTACACCTAGACTCAAACAAAAACAATAATGCATATTCAAACTTTAACATTTCCAATGGGAAGCAAAAACTTGGCTTTAAATCAATAGTTCAACATTTTGGGAAATACACCTCACTGCTTATATGGTGAAAGTTGGGTGAGAAGATTTATATCACTCATGTTTGTTTTAAATATGAAGGTCCTGTCAGAAACTGGTTAGCTTAGCGCAGCACAAAGACTTGAAACAGGGGAACAACTATCCTGTTTCTGTGAAAAGGTAGACTTCAGAACGTCACTGCTCGAAATAGTCTGGTACATAAACCATGGTAACTTTTTAACATTTTTATTTTTATTTTTTTTTACATATATTGTGTTTATTGGCGAAATATAAAGGTGCTGGTTGGCAGATTTTGTTACCTTTGGACAAAAGTAGGCTGCAGTAAGTGTTTCCTCTGTTCAGCTCTTTGCGCTAAGGTAACGAGCTGGCTGTAGCTTCATAATTCAAAAGTAAATAGTAGAATTGTTTTACATTTTGGTAAATATGCTCATTTACTTTATGGCAGAAAGATAGATGAGAAGATGGATACCACTCTGATGTCTGTCTGTTGTATAAAACTACAACCAACAGTCTGTTAGCTTAACTTAGCATGAAGAATGAAAAGTATTAAACAGCTAGCCTAGCTGTGTCCTATGGCACCCACATCAGTCCTTCTGTATCTATACAGTTCACTAGCTGAGATGTTGTATCTATTCTGCCTGTTTCACTACAGGTTATATGGTAAACTGTTACTTGGCTCCAAGAAGTTGCCAGTCGACCTGTGGAAACTCTGGGAAAGAACTTCTCCCAGCGAATGACAGTTCAGCACATAATCCCCATAAAATGTTAGTTTTTAGACTTCAGTTTTTGTATGAATAAATTAAGTAAATGAAATGTAATGGGTTATTTCTGAGAAAAGAATGCTAGCAGGTGGGACTGTCAGCCAGGTTAGCTGCTTTCTGTCTTTGTGCTAATTGAAGCTAACAAGCTGCTGCTGCTATTAGCTTTGCATTTAAAACACACTCATGACAGTGGTATTAATCATCTCATCAAACTTTCCATGAGTGTCAGAAAGGAGTATTTCCCCATGTTAACCATTCTTTTAGCATGAACACATGTGGTTGCTACCTTGTTACTATTATTTTACATCTCTATATGGTAAAAAAAAAAAAAATGGGCAAAACTTGGGGGCCACATTGTTCTTAATTTGTGGCGTCTATCCATTTCCTGTTGTGCCTTGATATCAAATCCACTAAATGTTCAGTTCAGGAGTGGATTTCCTCTCCGCATTCCTCAGCAGAATCCAGTCTCTGTGAGCCTCCAAAGCACAGGGCCAAGAGAAAATGTTTCACTACTTTGGCTTCACATTAAAATTCAAAATGTTTCTCTTAAAGAGTTAATTCAAACAGCATTAAATCCACTACATGCATCCATTGTTCCATAGTCTTTAAAATGAACAGTTGTGGGGCTGTGCTTAGTTTCCTTGGCATAAAATCCATCCTTCAGGTTTGTCCCCAGTTCTTCAATGTTAAACAGGGCAACAGATTCATACCCACAACCTAAACACACTTAAGCTTAAATGTGTAGCTTACTCGATACCGTGCAAGTAATATTAGTCACGTTATGCTGTTCAGTGTGGTCAAAAGTTTAATACATAAAAGTGTTTTTATTTTGTAATTTCTTTAAATCATTCAAATCCAGTTCATCCAATTCAGGCCTCCCAAAACAGAATACAATGCAAACACACTGAATGTTTTCTCAACTGGACCAAATCCAAAAGGTCTTTTGGGCAAACTCGCTCATATGACAGAAGTCTGCACCGATTCCACAGAGATGGAAAGACCCTGACATCATAGTCAATAAATGAGTAGTAAATGTAAATATATACACACACACACACACACACACACACACACACAGATAAACAATCAGTGTCATTTTCATTCAAATGTAAATGTGCAGCTAAGCTGCATGTTGAATTTGTCCCTGTCAATAAACAGACTCTGAATATGGTGTAGCACAGTAACATTGTCCAAATTTTAATATCAAGTTGCATTTAAGCATAAGCTGGAGTCACGGCGCAAAATTGAACATTTTCACATATATAGCAACATGAGGTGTGCAAATTAAGGCGTATTTTGAATAAAGCCTACAAATTAGAAAAACCAGGACCCCAGTCAGGACCGACAGCATTACTCAGTCATGAGTAAACAGCAATGATGAGACTGGAAACTTTCCCTTCAGTCTCGGCCCTCTAGTAACACCTAGTGATGCAGAAAATAAGAAATATAGGTGAAGGTGAGGAGCAGTTTTTGTTTTATGTCTCACTTTGACTGGTTTTTCTCTCTGAATGAAAGTCTATTGAGGCCCTGAGGTCTGAGAGGCAGAGAGGAGCAAGAGGCGACTGAGAAGTTCTTAACCTTATTCATCCCAAAACCAATGGTGCTGTTTTGAGGGATCATTCAGGAGGAAGTTGTGATGGGCACCACTGAAAGGAAAACCATAAGCGCAGAGTCACAGCAGAGCCTGTGTTTGCAAATTTTAAGTTGATTGCATCCAAGTCAGACAGGTGTGAGAGGGACACACTGATGGACAGTGACGGGACAAGCTGGCCAGCTCATCAACTGGTTAATGAGCCAAATTGCAAAATGTCTACTAGCCAGACTGTCTGGGCCATCTCAGAAAACACAAAGGGACAAGTCAGGGAGGACACAATGTCAAACAACTAAGCAAAAGTAGTACATAAAAAAACAACAAGTAAAGATAGAGCCAATCTTTTAATACAAAACCAGACAATCTGACGTGGACTAGCTGAAAAGTCAGCCAGCTACAGCAGGGTTCAAGAGACCACCACAAGGACAGTTAATTTTCATCATTTATCAAAAACTAAGACAAGGTGTTTACTTTGTGGATAGCTTTCATTTAAGGAGCAGTTTGTTGAGAACTGATACAGGTCATTTTTATCTATGGGAAATGCTTGTACCCAATTACTACTATATGCGATATCAAAGTTTCCTATAGTTTGTCTGACCATATATGCAGTATAATTTAATTATTAACACATGCATGCTCCTACATATGGCCATGTTTTTTTCTTATGGTCTTTTAATAACTGTTACTCTTACTAGTAGTAATACATGTATATTAAAAAAAAGCCCAATTGAAAAGGCTAGGAAGATTTTTCAAGAATTTTGTACTATTTATACTATTTCCATCCAATCGGGAAATAGACAGACCCAAAGACGGCACCAAGCCAACATATTTGAGAAAGAACCACATTTGCATCCAAGATACAAAGCCACTGCTGTACAGAAAGTCGTACTCCAGCTGACAAAACTACAACTAAACTGTAGTGTTACCAAACCACTTACAGTTGGGCAAATAAGTATTTGATACACCGCCGATTTTTCAAGTTTTCCCACTTACAGAGAATGGACAGTTCTGTAATTTTCATTGTAGGTACACCTCAACTGTGAGAGACAGAATCTACAAAAAATTCCAGTAAATCACATTTAGATTTTTAAATAATTTCCATTTTATTGCATGAAATAAGTATTTGATCACCTACCAACCAGCAAGAATTCTGGCTCTCACAGACCTGTTGTCTTTAAGAAGCCCTCCTATCCTCTACTCATTGCCTGTATTAATTGCAGCTGTTTGAACTCATTACCTGTATAAAAGACACCTGTCCACACACTCAATCTATCAGACTCCAACTTCTCCACTATGTGCAAGACCAAAGAGCTGTCTAAGGACACTAGGGACAAAACTGTAGACCTGCACAATGCTGGGATGGGCTACAGGACAATAGGCAAACAGCTTGGTAAGAAGGCAACAACTGTTGGCACAATTATTAGAAAATGGAAGAAATTCAAGATGACTGTCAATCTCCCTTGGACTGGGGCTCCATACAAGATCTCGCCTCATGGAGTATCAATGATCCTGAGAAAGGTGAGGGATCAGCCTAGAACTACACGGGAGGACCTGGTCAATGACCTGAAGAGAGCTGGGACCGCAGTCTCAACGGTTACCATTA